CGCACCCGTTCACCGCGCCGCGTGGGGGGACTGGACGGCTGGACTACTAAGGGGGCTAAGGAGTTACCCGACGACATTCTTCGCCTCTTCGCCAGCGTCCTACGCGCTATGCAACGCACTGGCACCATCCCAGAACCCCTCCTCCACGTGCCAAACCCGTGCCTCCGAAAAGGCCGAGGCGAACTCCCACCGGACCAACGACTTCTCTCGGTGCTTTCCGTTTGGATGTATGCGTGGGAAGCGCCAGCTTACCGCAGCCTCACGGACTGGCGGAAAGGATGGACCCTCGCCACGAGTTTTGGCGCTGTCCCCAAAGCTACCATTGGGGACGTCAGCACCTCTCTTGCCCTGCGCATCGAACACGCCAGGGCCTTACTCCTTCCCTTAGCTGGAGCTGCCCTGGACCGACAGAAGTGTTTCGATTACCTCATCACGGACATCTGCTTAACCTTGCGCTTCACGCGGGGTGTCCCCAAGACATCGTTACTGTCCGCAGAAACTTCTACAGTCGCCACAAACGCTACATCCGCATGAACGGTGCGTACTCTAAGGAACTGGCCAGGACAAACGGTCACCTCCAGGGAAGCTCTTGGTCCCTGGACGACATTAAGCTGCTCATGTGTGTGTGGACCAAGAGACAGCATCGATACGTTCCGCGATCACTCAGCACTACTTTTGTTGACGACAGCAACTCCACTACTCACACCGCGCCTGAGTTGCAGAAATCTCTTGATGAAACCGCCAAGTTTGATCGATTTTCTGGTCAACGCATTCACCCTGGAAAAGTGGCGGGGTGGGCGCTTACTGACGAGCTTCACACCGCCGTTACCCAGCTCACCTTGGCGGAACGGCCCTTACGCGTGGTCGACTCCTTCAAGCTCGTCGGAAGTTACATCAACGCCGAGGCAGCGCCGGCTCCAGCCGCGCTTAACCTCACGGCCACCGCTGACGCCCGTGTTCGCAGGGCGACTAGTCGCCTGCCGCGCATTGGCAAGCTCCCATCACCGATGCTTATTAAGGCGCGGCACGCCCGCTCCCTTGCTGCCAGCGTCTGCACCACGGGCACTGACATTCAAGCCCCATCAGGCCCCGTCAAAACTGCCTACAACCATGCCCTCAAGGCGGCTATCCGCCCCAAGGGAAACAGGTGGGTCGAGTTTTTGGACTCTCATGGCCGTGTGCGTCCCAGGACACGCCCTGAGATTGACGCCATTATGCAGCGTGAAGTCTTCCTGTGTCTGCGGCGACAGGTTAACCGCGACGCTACTCTCTGCGGTCTCGTCAGGGATCTCCAACACCATGTCCAGACCCTTTTCGGGGGAGGACCTGTCGGACGACTTGTCCAGACGCTTCAGCAGCTCCGTTGGACCTGGCCCACATTTGGTATCATGTACGACGACTGGGGCTGTCAGATCAGTTGGCTGAACCTTCCCCAAAACGCCTTCCTTCACATGCTGCGAGCCTCACAACGCAGAGCCTTTCTGAGAAAAATCCAGCCACGGCGTCATGACCTTGGACACCTGGCCTCTGTCAGACAGGGCCTCGACCTCTTCGCCAGCACGTGGCTCGCCCGAACGAAAGGGGCAGCCAAATGCAACGCATGGCAGCTGGCGCTCCTCCTTAACTACCTGTCGGGCGGGGACCACACCCAACAGCGACGATCCCGATCAAACTCGTCCGCTGACCCCAGCCCCATCTGCCGATACTGCGACGAGGAAGAGGAAACTCAGGAGCACACTGCTCGCGACTGCAAGTGCTGGGCCCGAGAAAGAGTCCCTCTCACCACCCTCATCAGTGACGAGCAGTGGGCCCGTCTTCCGCCGCACACAATACACTGCGGGCTCTTCGATGAAGACCCAGCCCTCCTCGACCTGCAGGCCGACCTCGCGAGGGACCCGCTACCTCAGCCCATACCGCGGCCCCCACCTGAGGGAGATCCTGCGGCTTCAGCCCAGGACTCCTACACCACCTACCTTGACCACGACACTGGTTGGACATGGGTCTACGCTGCACGGACGGTGCATGCACCAACCAAGCCATCCCATTGCTTGCACGAGCGGGCTACGGCGTCTACTACGGCATCGACCACCGCATGAACTACAGTGCACGCGTCCACGGCATCACGCAGAACGCACAGCTTGCGGAGACCCTCGCCATTGTCCACCTCACGGCATGTGCTGAACGGCCCGTACACGTTTTCGTGGACAACCAGGCGGTGGTCGATGGGTTCCAAAGTATCATCGACGGACACTCACCACCGCAGGGCACGCACGTGGAGCTCGGGGAAAAGATCCACCGATGTGTCATGGCCAAGCCACACATGTTCCGCGTCGAGAAAGTCGCTAGCCACCAGGGCGACATGGGCATCGACCTCGGGCTCATCGGGCCCATCGCGGAGGAGTTCAATCGTCAGGCTGACGCCCTCGCCACTGCGGCGGCACGTACTCATAACCTTCCAGACGACATCGTTGAAGCTGCCAAAGCACGACATCGCCAAGCGACCGTGCTCCATGGAGTCGCCGTTGCCATCTACGAGCGGAGACATCGTACACTTCCTCTCCCACACCGCAGGGCTGGGTTCACAGCTGCAGAACTAAACAAAATGGAACCAAATCCCCTGCTGTCTGACCAGGCACCACCCGCGGCTGGACCAGACATCCCACAGAACCCGGACGAGCTCTGGGCCGAGGCCCAACGGGCGATATTCGACGAACAGGAGGACGACCCGTTCGGCTTTGGTGGGGGCCTTGACTTCCTGGGCGACGGGCCAGCCAGCGCCAACCCTGCCCCGTCGGGCACCCGCACGGCGCCCCCGACTCCGCCATTGAGAGCGGCAGCGCACCCACATGACAACGCCGCTCATTTTCAAGACGCTGACGAACAGGAGGATGACCTGTTCAGCTTCGGTGGGGGATCGGACGCTTTTGACGACGGACCAGCCAGCGAAAACCCCGCCCCGTCGGGAAACCTCTCGATCCCTACTGCGACTCCGTCCCCGAGAGCGACATCGCCCACATACGATGATATCGGCCACCGCCAAGACGCCGACCATGACCTGGGTGACCCCCGCGGACTGAGTGGCATGGAGGACGCACCGCCGATACCACACGCTGCCGACCATGCCGCCCTACCGAGACGCCAACCTTCTACGCGACCGACCTCAGAGCCCTTGCACGGCATCATGACTGGTCCCACCGCGCAAACCACTCCGCCCCCCCACCGCCGGCAGCCCGCGGGGGCGGCTTCAGCCCCCCCGCAGGGTACTAAACCAGACAGGCCCTCGTGCCCCATCCACGCTTCCATCGTTGCTGAGCGAGAGGAAGCGGCTCTCCCGACCTCTCGGGGCGTGGCCCTAGCGGCTCCAGCCCTGGGGTCGCGTGGGCCCCTCCAGTCACCCTTCAAGGGTGACGGACGTCAGCGTACAGGGTCCCGCACTACGCTAGTCCACCATTTGGACAGGCGTAACGAGGACCTCGCCTCTGCCTCGAGGCCCTCGGCTGCTGGCACTGAGCAGCCACCCCTCACCGACCGCGAAACCGAGCTGTCACAGGCTATGGCTGCTCTCCAGCAGAGGTGCTTAGCTCTCGCCGCGGACCTCGCCGCCGCCCAAGCTCGTCAAGGCCCTCTACTCCAGCGCCTCCACAGCGCTGGGCGAGCCTTTGCCGAGCTGCTCACGGCCTCGCCCGATGGTGCCGTGCCGTCACTCACCATCCAAGCTATGTTGTCATCGTTCCGCGGCGCTCCACCTGGTGCCCCGCGCTAATCTCCTCCTTTCTGCCTGCCCGTGTGTACGCGTGGCTCCGCGTCCACGGTGTCAGGGCGTGGGGGCGGGGGGTGCCCCGTCACTGCGCGCCGCTTTGCGGCCAAGCGCCCAACTGGCGGTCTGCCAAGCCGCCTAGCCACGTGTCAGCACGTCGCCTTTCTTGTTGGGGCCTCTTTCCTTACGCGGTCTGACAGGTGAGATCATCATCGTCTGTCCGCCGTCTGTAGCGTCTGTCGCACTGCGCCGGGGGAGGGGTTTTTTTGTTGCCCGCCCTCGTATCTAAAGGCTGCACCGCCGCAAATAGTGTATGCGAGTTGTCGCACCGCAGTGCGCCTCGCGGACGGACCCTGGTCCGCCTACTTGTCCGATCTCCCTCTCTCCCTCTCTCCCTCTCTCTCTCCCTCCCTCTCATCCTCCTCCCCTTCCCCCTCCTCCTCCTCCTCCTCCTCCTCCTCCTCCTCCTCCTCCTCCTCCTCCTGCTCCTGATCTTCCTCCTCGTCCTCCCGTCCTCGTCCTCGTCCTCGTCCCGTCCGCCTCTTCCTCCTCTCTCCTCCTCCTCCTCCTCCTCCTCCTCCTCCCTCCTCCTCCTCCTCCTCCTCCTCCTCTTCCCCCCCCCCCCACCTCCTCCCCTCCTCCTCCTCCTCCTCCTCCTCCTCCTCCTCCTCCTCCTCCTCCTCCTCCTCCTCCTCCTCCTCCTCCTTCCTCCTCCTCCTCCTCCTCCTCCTCCTCCTCCTCCTCCTCCTCCTCCTCCTCCTCCTCCTCCTCCTCCTCCTCCTCCTCCTCCTCCTCCTCCTCCTCCTCCTCCTACCTCCTCCTCCTCCTCCTCCCCCCCCCCCCCCCCCCCCCCTCCTCCTCCTCCTCCTCCTCCTCCTCCTCCTCTCCTCTCCTCCTCCTCCTTCCTCTCCTCTCTCTTCTTGCTCCTCCTCCTCCTCCTCATCCTCGTGCTCCTCCTCCTCCTCCGCCTCCTCCTCCTCCTCCTCCTCCTCCTCCTCCCCCTCCTCCTGCTCCTCCTCTTCTTCCTCCTCCTCCTCCTCCTCCTCCGTCTCCTCCTCCCCTCTCCCGCGCGCACGGCCCCACTCCCGAAGCATCGGGGCAGACGCAAACCAGGCGCTGGCTCCAGCTTCGCTGATGACCGCTCCTGCGACAACCTCTACCGCATCTGCGGCTGCCGCTGATGCTGCTACTACCGCTGCTGTTTTTTTCGGGGGCAGAGAAGCACAAAGAGAAGTGGGTCCGCCTCGTCCGCTGCGTCTTCCTGCCCGGTCCTCTGCTTGGCCTTGCGCACTGTCTTCGCCAACTCGTGGAGCTCGGCGTTCGAGACGGGCTTTTCGTAGGCCGACGCGTTGTCGCCAACCTCGCGACGTTGTGTTAAATATCCGAATCGGGGATCGACAACAGAATTGTTTCACCCCAAACTTGCTCTTCTCGTCGAATGCATGAGGAATGCCACAACTTTGTTATAGATTTGACGAGGGAATTAATCATGTGGTGAATCAGTTCTGTAGTCGATCCCCTACTCGAAATATGTGGGCTTGTCTTCCCCTGTCCATGCGACTGTGTGCACGTGTGCCCGTGCTCCTCCTCTGGCCCTCCCGCCTCGGCCCTCGCCCTCTTCCCTATTTAATTCAATAACCGCCCGCCTGTGCTCTTCCTCTCTCGCTCTCTCTCTCTCTCTCTCTCTCTCTATACATATGTATCTCTCTCTCTCTATATATATGTATGTATGAGAGAGCGTGATCCACCGCCGCTTTACTGTGGAAAATTGCCAACCTTTTCCTCCGGAACCCGGGGGTCCCCCCCCCCCCCTTCCGAAAATCCCCCCCCCCCCCCCTGCTGGAACCCCTCCCCCCCCCCCCCTCCCCCGGCAAAACCCCCCCCCCCCCCCTAACCCCCTCCCCCCCCCCCCCCCCCCCCCGCTCGAAAACCGAGGGGGGGTCACTACGGTTCGAACCCCTCCCCCCCCCCCCCCTCCGGATCCGGAAAACCGGGGGGGGTCACTACCGGTTCGAACACCCCCCCCCCCCCCCCCCCCCCCTACTCACCGCCAGCAAACGACTCCCGGTCCCCACCACCGTCCGCATCACATCCCCCACTGGTGTTCCCAGCACCACTGTCCTCACCACCGCTGTCCCCACTGGTTCCACCACCGCCCCTACTGTCCCCACCAGTGGCCCCACCACTGTCGCACTGTCCCCGCTGTCCCCAGAACTGTTCCCACCACGGTTCCACTCTCCCCACTGTCTCCACGGCCCCAACCACTGCCCGACTATCCCCACTGTCCCCACTGTCCCACTGACTCCTCCGCTGTCCCACTGAGCTGTCCCACTGTTCCCACCACTGTCCCCACTGTCCCCACCACTGTCCCCACTGTACCTCTGTCCCATTGTCCCACCGCCGTCCCTCGCCACCGCCTTCACCACTGTCCCCACCACCATTGTACCCTCCACTGTCCCACTGTTTCCACCTCATTCCCATTGTCCCCACACCACTGTCCCCACCACCACCGTCACCACCACTGTCCACTGTCCCCCCCTGTTCCCACCATTGTCCCCACCACTGTCCCCACCACTACCGTCCCCACCACTGTCCCACTGTCCCACTGTCCCCACCACTGTCCCGCTATCCCCTCACCACTGTCCCCACCAACACCGTCCCCACCACTGTCCGCACCCCCACTCGGTTTTCGAGGGGGGGGGGGGTTCGAACCGGTAGTGACCCCCCCCGGTTTTCCGGATCCGGAGGGGGGGGGGGGAACGGTAGTGGATGAGCAGGGGGGGGGGGGGGAGGGGTTCGAACCGGTAGTGACCCCCCCCGGTTTTCGGAGGGGGGGGGGGGGGAGGGGTTCGAACCGGTAGTGACCCCCCCCGGTTTTCTGCCAGCAGCGGTAGAACACGCTCTTTCGTATGTATACATGTGTACCCTCTCTTCCGCGCCCGTCGTCGCTCTCGCCGCCCTGGCCGCCGCTTCACCCGGCCTCCTTCCCAGCCTCCGCTTGCCGCTCTCTGCCGCCCGCCTCGCTGAGGCCTCCGCGGCGCCCGGCCGCGTGGCGTGGCCGTCGAGGTCCACGCGCGGCCCGTGCCTGCTGCGTGTCCGGGTGCCCTGCCCGCCCGCCCGTTCGCCCCTCGCGCCCGCGTCCGAATGCCTGACTATCAGCGTCGCGCCGCCGTGTGTACTCCAGATTTCGTAATAGAGGGAGGGGGGTCTCATTTCGGGGGGGGGTCTCTTCCAGGCTATCTTGGAGGGCCTGGGGGTCTGGGGACGATGTTTTGGGGGTTCTCCCACGGGGGAGGTCTGAAATGGCTTGTCTTGGAGGGTCCAAACCCCCTCCCTTTTATTACGAAATCTGGAGTACGTGTGCCCCTCCCGTGGCCTCGGCCGCCTCCCAGGCGCTCCTCCGAAGGCCTCCGCCGCGTCGGTGTGCGCGCGCGTGCTCGCGGCGCCAAACCAAGGGTGTGTTACGCGTGCCCGTGCGTCCACGAGCTCCCCCGCTGCTCTGCACGTGGTGTCAGCGCACCTGGTGGCGCCCAGGCCTTTGAGAGGCTTTCTAAGCCTCGCTCGAAGCCAGAACAATCTTCTCAGAAGGCGCGAGGGCTTCTGAGAAGTCCCGCCGCCTCCTGGGAAGGCCTTATCCTTCTCTGCTTCTCGTTTCCCCCCCCCTCGCTCGCCGACGATTCTTCTGGGCCCCGAGGGCGGGAGGCGCACGCCCACGCCCACGCACAGAAGAGAAGCTTAAGATGAGAAGGGGAGAAGCGGAGGGGCAGTCCCTGGAGAGAGGGCTGGACCAGGGCTGAACCTGAACGGTGTTTTTCGTTTTCGCTTTGCTTTCGATTTCCTTCGCTTTTGTCTCGGGTCCGCCTCTGCCGCAAAACGGAGTCGAAACGAAAACGGCCCACGGAATCACCAAACACTCCGTTTAGGTCCAGCCCTGGGTTGGACAGCGCCTCCCCAGCTGGCAGGTACGCTGCGGCAGGGTAGATTCGGCGAGCGGCCCCCAAAACATCGTCATGGTTGGGCGCAGTCCTCAACATCAACACTTGCGGATGCAGAAATGATAGGAGGCAACTTCTGGGAGGCTTTCGTCGTGAAGACTAAGGAGGATTCAGCCACATTTGGGGGCTCTTACGCCGGAGTGGGCCTCGGACTAAGCAAGATTAAGCCGGATTAAGCGGGAATAAGCGGGATTAAGCCGGACTTCGGCCCAAGGCGAAATACGAATTTTACCTCCCAAGAGTTGCATCCGAAGAAATGGCCCTGGATTTGGCGCAAAGCGCTGAAACCGTCAACTATTTCCTCGCCGTCTGCGCCAGCCCGAGCGATACTGCTGGCTCTCAGGATGCCCCCCTGGAAGGAAACCCAGTGGCACATGGAGAATGACTACGAAAGAACTGGAGGAGTGAGAGGCGGAACGGCTGGTAAGGAGCTGGCCCGATCTGTTTTTTTGTCTACCCGCGGCCCGAAAGGTCCCGACCCATGCCCTGTGGCAAATGTTTCGCCCTGGATCCTTTCTTGCCCGCGCGAAAACGCGAAACGCTGCCAGCGCGAGAAAAAAAAGAGGGCGGTCGGTGTGACGTTCCGCTTGACTCCTCGTTCGCTCGCGTCCTCTTCCGCTTCGCCAGAGTGCTTCTGGGCATTCAAGGATTGCTAGCGCAGTCGTACATGTGATATTTCTCGAGTGCTTTGGGGGTTTGTCACGCGCGTGGGCACGTGCTGACTCATCTTACGCTCCTGCGAGGAGCGGCAGTGTTTGTCCTGTCGGTCGGTCTGTCTGTCGTCTGTCTGTGTCTCTCTGGTTGTCGCCTGTCGCCTCCAGGGGGCTTGGCGCGGCCAGGATCTGCAGACGCAGTGTCGACTCTCGCGTCGCGCTTCTGCAGCTTTTGTGTACACGCCCTCCCACCCTGCCGCTGGTGCGGCGAATCGGGACGTCCCGCTGGACTGTTTTCCTGGGCCAGGGTTGCCTGCTCAGATGTCCCGTCCGGCAGCGGGCGTCACGTTTTACCTATGCTTCTGCGGCAGGACAAGCTGACACATGTTCTTGGTCCCCGCGCCCGCTAACCGACCCCAGCGTCCGAAATCGAAGGAAAAAGTTTGGAGTGACCACGTCCGATCGTCGAAGATCTGGGGTTGCGCGCCTCGTCCGAGGTGTCCGCTTCCCCCGCCGACGTGGCCTCCTCGTAGGCCTTCTCGTAGGCGTCGTGTCCTGTCTGCTCGTAGGCCTTCTCGTTGGCTGCCTGGGCGGCCTTGGCGAAGGCGTTGCGCTCGGCGCTCGAGACGTCCCACAAGGGCTTGTCGTAGGCCTCCCCCCGTGCTCAGATCTCCCACGATGTGATGTTTTCAATCGGTGCTTTTTCGGGAGCGGCAAAGAGGGGGGCGTCAAAAGAGGGGGGGGTGCAAATCATGACCGGCGGCATGTGCGCGGCCCAGCGGGGGGGCCAGGGACGTATTGAAATAAGAAGAGGCGCCATGAAATCTGGGAAATATCATGGCCCCCGCCACGATATCCCCCCCCCCCTAGTCATCACCCCCCTCTTTGCCGCCCCCGACTTTTTCCGCGAAGTCGGCCTCTGGGTTGCTTACCGGGACCCGGAACTATCAAAAACTGATCTTGGGCGAACAACGTGCCCTGGGGCAGGGCTTGGGCCCTCGGGGGCCGCGGGTAGAACAGATCATCTCGCAGATGCCACGGTGTGCTTGCCGGCGCGGGCGGGCTTGCGCCGGTCGTCCTCCCTCCGCGAGGGGAGGCAGCGACAGACCTTGCAGCACTGCCTCCCGCAAGTCCGCGCAGATTTCTTGGGGCGGCGCTGGAGGCGACGCCAAGGGGGGGGGCGGGGGCGCAGCGCCGATCCGAGAAATCCGCGCAGGCCTCCCAGACTTTGTGCTCATGGCATGGACTGTGCTGCGAGGGTCGAGCAAGGGCCGACCGTCCCGGCATTCCTATGGCCCTACCACGAGCTGTCCCTAGAACCCCAAAATGCTCCAGGAACAAAACCGATTTTCGTAGAACAGAAACACGAGGTGACAAAACAGGACAGGTTCCGCCAGACATGTTCTAAGAACATTTCGTGGCAACCACAGAAAGGTTCTTAGAACATTGTTTGGTAGGGCTATAGGCGAGCCAGGACGCTTCGCCACTGCTTGAGAGGGGGGCGGCCCCGCCCCGCCGCACGCCTCGTCCCCGGAGCCCTCGCTCGCCGCCCCCTGCGGGCCCTCCGCCGCCGCCGCCTCGCTGGCCTCGGCCTTCGCCTCGCCCTCGGCCTCGGCCTTCTCCTGCAGCTGGCGCTCGGCCCGCTCGAACGCCTCGCGTTCGGCCCGCTCCTCGTCCTCGGGGGGCGCGCCGAGCGCGTGCAGTGCGCGGCCCCTCTCGCGGCGAGCCCCGGCTGCCCTCTCGAAAAATGGCCCCGGCGCTGGCCCTCCGCCGTGCGTTTGTCATCGCTTCTGCGCTCGCCTGGGCGCATCAGGAAGTTACAAGGCCAGGCGATAACTAAGCAGAATCCATTGACAACCTATCATGTTCGGGACCACTCGACGACCTAGCCAACTGTATAACAAAGCGACCTTGGGCGATCCGACGGCCTGCACCACCAATGTTTGTTTTCTCCCGGCCAAACCGCAGATACAAGACGACCACGCAACCAGCATGGCCTTCGTAGACGACACGCTCATTATGGCACGGTGCAAAGACAACGACCCCATTGAACACTACATGGCTGGCTTAGCAACGACGACACACACGCAACACTCACTAGCGACGGCTTCAAACTCAACTACAAACCGCGCAAGTCATCATTTACGATAACCGGACGAGCAAGGGCACCGGACCACCAAAACAAAAACTACTCGCACAACGAGAGCCCACTACTGCCAAGTCTGGTACCAACATATCACTAGCACGCAAATGTGCGACGACCTCGGGAGTCACTGCGACCCGGCACGCACGACCACTATCCGCGCGGCCCACCAGATCACCAAACAGAAACAGCACTGACACCTCTCATGGCCACCCACTTTGAAAACAGCCATCCCAGGATTGACATTGACTACCCTGCAACGCGCTTGACCACCTCCCATGCTCTTGCAAATATCCCACCCACCCACCCGCAACTCGGTCTGCAAAGCCCATGCGGCGGCGATTGCGATGAGTGCTTGCCCTTGGCTGGTGCATCTCTGCGGCCGCGCTGGCCCGCGCATGCTCGCGCGCGCAGCGTCCAGCTAGTTTGGCGCGGCCGACGCGGCCGCTGTGGCGCTGACTGCTAGGCACTTCCCAGCGGCATTTCAATGCGAGTCGGTGACTTGGGCGGGCGCGGTACCATGGCGACGCCGACAACGGTAGACACGATTCTGAGAGTAGCGATGGCACCGCAAGTGGCGATGACGACGACAAAGCCAACGACGGCGCAGATGCTGATCACGCCCGCCGGCAACGATGACGATGTCCTCGCGTCGGCGAAGAAGGTTCCGGAAGAAATTCGACATGCGCGCGCGGCCGACGCGCCCGATTGGCCCGCGCTGCATCGTTTGACACGGCTCGTGCCCCCCAGCACGCGCGCTAGGGCGTTCGAATGAATTCGACATGCGGCGTGAGAAGCCTGTTGAAAACCCGATGGGTTTCTCAAGAACCCGGAAGCGTGCGAGCGCAGCTTTTTTTTTGAACTAATGTTGCAAAACCGCGTGCTGTTAAATGTTTTCAGGGCACTCGATTTTGAAAACCTTACGAAACCGATGGTGCACCCAAAGATTCCAGCACGCGCGCGCGACGACGCGCGCGCGTGCACTCGCCCAGTTGTCCGTACAAGGGGTTCTTGCGACAGCACGCCCGCAAGGACGACCGAACGATTTCGACACGCGCACGCAAGAGGCCAATTTGGAATATTATGGACATGTTTTTTGTTTTTAAGAATACAAGTCTTGTTGGATTCGCAAGAGCGCGGGCGCACACTTGTTTCGAACAGTACTGTTGAAAAGCAGTGTGTTCTACATGTTTTCGCGATACTCGATTTTGCTATCCTTGCGACATTCTGGGATTTCGGGGGATTTCGCCATGCCCGCGCGACCACGCGCGCGCGTGCACTTCGTCCCGAAATTCTGCAAGGGAGTACTGGTAACTGCTGATTTTCTAATGGACGAGAGCGCGCGCACAATACTCATTGCGTAGGCTGGCGGGGGGCGTCGACACCAGCCTGGCTTGGACTGTACGAACTCATGTTTAAGATAGACGCTGGGGCAGATCCATATGTCTATTTCATATCGCGAGGGGGGTTGCTAACTCCAGGAAAGGGAGGGGGTAGACCACCCCGCGACCCACCCCGCGACCCACCCGCGACCCACCCCGCGACCCAGCCCGCGACCCACCCCGCGACCCACCCGCGACCCACCCGCGACCCATACGCGACCCACCCGCGACCCACCCGCGACCGGGCCCGCGACCCATCCGCGACCCACCCGCGACCCACCCGCGACCCCCCACACGATCCACCCACATTGCTTTCACGAAAAAATCGGCGCCTGCGGCGGGCTCACTGCAGAAATTGTAATAGAAGTTAGGGGCCTGCGGCGGGTTTCTTCAGAGTCTCGCAGACTGACGACTTCCTCGCCGCCCCCTCGCTCTCATCCGCAACTGCGGGGTGCTGCATACATTTGCTGCACGCCTGAACCTACCAATCGGGGAGTGAGGGTGGGTCTCTCACTGTAAGGTTGTGACTCAGATTATCGATCGCTCGGTCTCGCATGGCTGGCGCATACTCTGCGCACTTTGGGGCCCTCAGGTACCCGCTGCGCCAGCCAGGCGCAAGTCGCTCTCGCCACTGTGTTGAGTGAGTGTGCTTGCAGTCACGCACGCTCCAGGCTGCCGCCTCAAGTTGGTCCAACGTCAAAAAAAGAACCAGGAGGAGCAGGAAGAGAAGGAAAGACGGGCTTGTTTGGAGCAGGGACGGATCGTCCCGGCATTCCTATAGTCCCACCGCGACATGTTCTTAGAACCTAACAATGTTCTAAGAACAAAAACAAGGTTCTCAGAACAGAAACCCGATGTCTTGAAACACGACAGTCCCAGCAAGAAAGTGTCTAAGAACATCTCGTGCAAACCACAAAAGGTTCTTAGAACATGGTTTGGTAGGGCTATTGGCGAGCCGGGACGCTTCGCCACTGCTTGATTGTTCCTCGCCGAGAGAAACAGGGGGGGGCTTCAAGACCAAAGACCTCCCGGGGCCATCGTCGGAAACCTGGGCTTAACTCGGGCGTGTCCCTCTACAGGGGGGACGTTCAGAGATAGGAATAGTCAAACAATAGTCCGGGGACGATTTTATTTTGACTACTGTTGAGTATTTTGGGGGATTGGTTTGAGTATTTCTCATTTTTTGCCCAAAATCCCCCCGTAGGGGGACAAGCCCGACTTCAATCTGGGCCAGTGCGCGCGGCGAGACCCCCGCGCCGGGCCCCTCTGGCCCTCGGCCTCTGCCAGCGGCCGGGAGGGCTGCCGAGAAAGGTGCCCGCAGGGCGGCCTGCCGAGGAGGCGGGCCTCTCGGAGGGCCCGTGGAGCAGACGAGCGCGACGACAGGGGAAGGGGACAGCACGGGGGGGCGCAGGGGAGGGCTTCGCGCATCCCTCGCCCCTGTCCCTCCTCCTCCTCCTCCTCCTCCTCCTCCTCCTCCTCCTCCTCCTCAACCGTTCTGGGCCCCGGCCGTGCCACCGAGGGCCTGGGACTTGCCGTCGCGGTCTCCAGACGGGGGCCAGCGGCGGCGAGCCAGCGTCAAACCAAAAGGGAACAGAACAAGCGCGCCGCCGCGGCCTCTTTGGGCATGAGGAGCAAGTTGGGCGGCCTCCGCAGAAGGCGGGCCTCCGAGCAGCAGGGGCCGAGCAGCAGGGGAACGAACAATGACATAAACATAAAACACGAAGGTCCGCGCGGACTTCCGGGATCGGCACTGGAGCCCCCATGGCGGCGCCTCCGGCGCCGCCCCTGGCGCGCTCCGCGCGCCGAGGAGTGGGGTCCAACGCCGATCCGAGAAGTCCGCGCGGACCTCCGAGTTTTTACGTTTGTGCCATTGCTTGTGTCCTTAGGTAGGGCCCTGGGAGGCGGCCCAAAGCCGTGAGGGCTTCCAAGAAGCCCCCGTGCGTCTTCAGAAGCCCCCCACCCCCAGCATCTCTGGAGGCCGCCGCACCCCCCTCCCCTGTCACCGCTCCGCTTGTGCACGCGGCGGGAGGTCCTCGCGCAGCGCCCTCTCGCGCTCGGCCTTCTCCTCGTTGGCCTGGCTCGCCTCGCGCGTGCTCTCCTCCTCTCGAAGATCCACACAGCACCCTCAAAAACGCACCGTCGTGAAAGGTGCCCTGGGCACTCCATGTCGTGTGGACTCCAGCGGGGTCGCTACTCCACTTCCAGATGTCCACAAGGAACCGAACGTATCTGTGGAAACGCGCGTCGATCAGCGAAATTCGCTGGGGACTGCATCGGTACACTCGACTGCCAACGTCGAGAAAAAAACAGGCGCAGACTTCCGCAATCGATGTGTCTGGGCGGGCGCCGGAGGCGGCCCACGGGCCTGAACTGGACGGGCCCCGAGAAAACGGGTTAAAACGAGGGGATACAGTCAACCAGTACAGTCGGGGCGTTGACCTAAGGAACCCTAAATAAGGAACGAGGCCCCTTTTTCCAGAAGTTAGACTTCGTTTTTTGTCGAAAACATCAGGAAAACCTGAGGCAAGCTGTGAAACACTTAAGGAACGCGGAGCCCCTCCCCAACCAAAAGGGTTCCTTCTTCAGGGCCCCGACTGTACAGCAAGGATGCGCGATAAGGATGCAAGGGCCTTGGACGCCCCTTGGGAAGCTTTTCGAGCAGGGCGCGGCCAACGGAAGTGGCCAGGGATGGGCCGAGGAGGCAAGGATGCAAGGGTACCCTCGAGCAGGCTGCCCATCCTTACGGTGCGGGCTGACTGTAGAGGCAAGCCCGCACAACCACTGGACCCTGGACATCTCCCGGGGTCCATCTGTTGCAAGGTCCGCTCTTGACATCACTGGGCCTGAAAAAACGGCCCCCGCATGCGGGCAAGGTTCGTATCCATATCCAGTGCGTCGTGGATTTTTGGGGAAGGAGCGTCGCAAGGCCGAGGCGTACTGGATATGGATAACAATCGAGCCTCTAGGGGGCAAATTTATCCATATCCAACGCGCCTCTGGTTTCTGGGGAAGGGAACCCGAAACTCCATATCGCAGTGGATATGGACAGAAGAATTGCCCGCACCGCATACAGACCAAGGCAAGACAAGAAACCCGCGAACCCAGCACACCGCACCCCGCACCCCCTTCGTGCTGGTCGGAACCCGTGCCGGGCCGCCTCAGACCCCCAGCCAGCTTGAGGTCGGGCCCGCCCCCCTTACAAGCGAATTTTGGGCTTTTTTGGTTGAAAATATAAAAAAACTGTTAAAGAAATACCCCCCCCCAAATGCTCGGACATCTGTTTAAAAAGTAGTCCCGAGACTAATTTTAAAATATTTCCCCTGTGGAGGGACAGGCCCGACTTCAAGCCAGCTCCAAGGTGGGGGCTCTTTCGGAAGGCCCGGTCCTCGGCCTCGCGCACGGCCCTCTCGTCCGCCTCGCGGGCGGCCCTCGCCTCCTGGGCCCTCCGCTCCCGCTGCGCGGCCTCGGGGCCCTGTGCGTCGTCGGCCACGACCGGCAGAGCCTCGTCGCTCCACTCCTCCTCGGCGTCAAGTCGGGCCTGCCCCTCTACAGGAGGAAAACCCAAAAATGATCAAACATTAACTCGGGGACGATTTTTTGACCAAGTTTGAACATTTTTGAAATATTGTTCAAGCACTTTTTACTTTTCGTCCAAAATCCCCCTGTATGGGGGACAGGCCCGACCTGACCTCGGCGGCGCGCGGGGGCCCAGATCTCCGGCGGCACGACGGTTTCGAACTCGATGCGAAGTCTTGGGCGCCCGAGTTATCCGGGGTAACTCGGGTCCGGGGTAACTCGGGTTTGGATTCCCGAAAAAGGAACCCGAGTTATCCCTGACCCGAGTTACCCCTGATGATTTTGGGGCTCTGGACGCCCGAGTTATCCGGGGTAACTCGGGTCCGGAGTAACTCGGGTTTGGATTCCCGAAAAAAACAAACCCGAGTTATCCCTGACCCGAGTTACCCCTGATGATTCGGGGCTCTGAAAATCTGTCTGTGCTGTTCTGGACAGTTCTTGCTGGTCCCAGGAGGGCTTCCAGCCTCGGGACGCGTTTCAGCGGCCGCGCCTCGCCGAGAACGTTGGGAGTGCGCCGGGATCGTCCTCGTCCCGAACCGCCGCCGGAGAGACCCGAAGTGGGCGGGCCGAAAAGTCGGATCTCCGCCGATCTGACTGTTGCAATCCGAGCGTTCTCCCCCGACTTTGGTCAGCACCCTGTGGCCATCACTAGGGGAACAAAGAGTGGCATGAACATAAAAAACTCGGAGGTCCGTGCGGATTTCTCGGATCGGCGCTGGACCCCCCTCCATGGCGCGCTCCGCGCGCCAGGGGCGGCGCCGGAGGCGCCGCCGGGGGGCCCCAGCGCGGATCCGAGGAATCTGCGCGGCCCTCTGAGTTTTTATGTTTTTTTGTGTGGATCGCCCCTCATCGGGTTGATGGCCCTCTGAGTTTTTTATGTTTACTATGCCGGTGTTTATGATTCTTTGATGCCACTTTTTATGTTTTTAAGTTTTTTATGTGTATTATGTTTATTCTGTCAAGAGTGGATCAGAGGTCGGGGAGCCGGCCCCAGGGAAGGGGTCGGGAGCACAGCGGCGGCGTCGGGAGCAGAACGCCAGATCGGCGGGTGCCAGGGCGCGGGAGGGCGCGAGGGGGAGCGGCCCGGGGAGAAGGCGGGGGGGTCGGGTCGGGCGAAAGGGGGGGATAACAAAGGGGGGGTTGAGAATCAGCTCACGTAGCTGATTTTCCCGGTGCCTCCTGGCGCCGGAGGCGGCTATGTATCGAGGAATGGGCCCTTCGGTGGGGCCGAAACCGGCTGCATGCAGCAGATTTCGTAACCCCCCCTTTCCCAATCCCCCCCTTTCGCCCGACCCGAGGGGGGCTGACTCAGAAGGCCAAGGGGCCTCTCGGACGCCCTGACCGTCTCTCGGATAGAAGCCTCCCTGGTGCCCCCTCGTGCGCGCGCGGTCCCCCTGCCACGCCTTCTTCTTGAGCCGGGACCGACCGTCGCGGCATTCCTTTAGTCCTACCGCGAGATGTTCTTGGAACCCCAACATGTTCGAATCACAAAAAACCAGGTTCTCAGGACAAAAAAACCCGATGTGTTAAGACAAGACAGCCTCCGCCAGCAACGTTCTCAGAACGTTTCGTGGACACCACAGAAAAGGTTCGTAGAACAGTGTCTGGTGGGACCATGAGCGAGCCGGGACGCTTCGCCAATGCTTGCTCTTCGGTGCGCGCTTCCCCCAGGGCGGGGGACAGCGGGTGATAAGCGGGCCGGCGGCGCCACAGCGCACGCTACCGCTATATAAGATCAAAGCTCAGGGCCCACGAGCCCTCCCCCCAAATGGGATTGGTCCCAGGGTCCTCGGGCCCCCCCCCCAAGATGGGATGGGGAAGGGAGGAGGAGGAGGAGGAGGAGGAGGAGGAGGAGGAGGAGGAGGAGGAGGAGGAGGGGAGGAGGAGGACGAGGGGGAGGAGGAGGAGAGGGAGGAGGGGGAGGGGGGAGGAGGAGGAGGAGGAGAGGGGGAGGAGGAGGAGGAGGAGGAGGAGGAGGAGGAGGAGGAGGAGGAGAGGAGAGGAGAGGAGGAGGAGGGGGAGGAGGAGGAGGAGGAGGAGGGGGAGGAGGCGGAGGAGGCCCAAACCCTCGACCATATGTCCCCCCAGCGCCAACCAGGAGCAGCCCCCGTGCCTTCTTGGCAAGCCGCCCCCCTCGCCGCCGCCCCGCGTTGGTGCTCGCCGCGGGCCTCCGCCGCGGCTTGCTCGGCCGGCTGGTCCTCGCCGGTGTCGCTGCCAACCTCGTCGTCCCCGTGGGAGAAGGAGACGTCCTCCTGCTCCGGCTGCGCCTCGGCGGCCGCGTTGGCCTCCCCGGACGGGCAACCGCATGCCCGCCCCACAGTGCGGGCGCGGCCGCAAGGAACCCTCGCAAGAAACCCGACCCCGAGAACCCGCGCGCGGGGTGCACCCGAGGGGAATCCCGGAACACCCTGAACGCATCAGCTTCTTCAGCGGTCGCGGGAAGTCGCCACGCAGCGCGCGGAGCGAAGAAACCCAGGATACCCTGACGAAAAGCATATGGTTTCTTGATAAGCGCCCCCACTGTAACCCTGCGGGTCAGATCTCTGAAACGCTGGCTGGGGCTCAGAATCCGAAGTGTGTCTGCAGCCGAGTGGACCCCAGACCCGCCGGGGTAGGCTTCGCAATGGGCCGCACGCCCGAGGCCTGCTCGGGCTGCGGCGCCGCCACGTCCTCCTCTGGGTGGTCCGACTCGTCCTGCTCCGCTGCAGTCGCGTTGACCCCCTCCGCGGCCAGCTCGGGCTTCGGGCCATCCACGTCCTCGCCTGGGTGGTCGGACTCGTCCTCCTCCGACGCAGTCGTGTTGGCATCGTCCGCGGCCGGCTCGGGCTTCGTCGCGGCCGCGTCCTCGTCACCCAGCCCGTCGGAGTCGATGCGCAGGCCCGTGGGGCCCTGCACCACGTATGCGGTGGCCGTGTCGCTCACCCCGCAGAACGCGTCGAAGATGCCCGCGCGCTTCGTGCACTCGTCATGGCTTCCCTGCCCCGATCTGTCCGCGAACCAGACGCCGTCGTACACCTTGTGCGGGTGGTTCGGGCAACCGCTCTTCAGAAGAACGTAGCAGCCGGGCTCCTGCGGGATCTGAGAGCGCCACCTCGAGACTCCGAGCGGCACCACCGGTGTTGTCGACGGCGCCTCCGCCGCCGCCTCGTCTGTGCTGTCCTGCCGGGACGGTCCGGTCTCGATCTCGGCGCGGTCCAGCTCGGGGTCGCTGGAAGACACGACGCGCATGCCCGAGGTGGTCTCCTCGACGTACGCGAAGACCGTCGCGTCCACCCCGCAGAACGTGTCGAAGACGGACTTCCTGTACGAGCACGAGGTGTAGCTTCCATGCCCCGACCTGTCGGGCATCCTTGCGTGCGCGCCGCATGAGGCACGTCCTCTCTGCCTCGTCTGCCCGCTCCCCTCCCCAGCTCGCCTCCCTCCACCCACCTCGTGCCCCTCCCTCCTTCGTGAGCCCCCTCCTCTGCTGAAGGAATTACAGCTGTGCGGATCACAACCCACGCCGGCGCATGGACTTCTTGAACTTCCCTCAGCGTCGGCAAGAACACCAGTGGATAGGAGACAGCGGGAGGGGCAGGAAGGAGACAGGAACGCACCCCCCTCCCTCCCTCCCTCCCTGCTGCTGCTGCTGCTGCTGCCTCCGCCGGCCCTGTTCGCGACGTCGGCCCTCGGGACTTGAACTACTTGCCCGGGGCCAGGGTTTCTCTCATCTCTTTTGACGGTCCCAGAGCCAGGGCAAGCAAAAACCGGCCGTCACTGCAGTCATCGTCTCATCGCGCTACTATCAAGAACAGTTCATGGGTCACGAAAGTTTGGACGCCCGACATGGGTATCGAAAAAATGGGTATGATGCCCAACAACAAATGTTGCCCCAAACCAAAAGCGGCCGCTGTTGGGCAGGCGGCCTTCTGTCACAAGTGTACCCAGGCCGCGGCGGCGCGGACAGCGAGTCCTGTTCAAAATAATCAGGAACTGCTGTTGAGCTTTGTACCCATTCTTTCTGTGCCCATCTCGCTCGTGCAGAGAAAGGGCTTTCATGGCCACGGCGAGACTCGGCCATGAAGAAGTTGCCCCCCCGCCCAGACCGAGGGATCGGCCCGAAAACCAGAGCCCCAGCGGAGCCCGCAGCGGCCCTGACTTCAGCGCCCCGACGGCGTCTCCTCTCGTGCCGCCCATACTTAGGGGGAAAACAAGCCTACCCCGCTTTTGATCACCCTCGCTTCCAAGAGATACCAAGCGATGCCAAACTGCGGCCTGCACTGGTCAGACCGCTTGACGAGGCGGCGCGTGGCATGACTTGGTGCTGCCCGGAAGCGAAAGCGGGGTAGGTAATTATTCACGCTCTGCATACCCTCGGGAGCTCCACTCCGCCGCTCACCTGTCCCGCATCCAGTCGTTCCTGTACTCCTGGTGCGGGTGCTTCGGGCAGCCGTTGGTGAGCCAGATGTAGCAGCCGGGCTCCCGCGGCACCGGCGGGCGCACGCGCGGGACGTCCAGCGGCGCCGCGACGGTCGTGGAGGGCGGCGCCGCCGCGGGCTCCTCCTGCGGCGCGCGCGGGCGGCGGCGGCCGCCCGTGCGCAGAGTCGCCCACGGCTCGGGTCGCACACCCCCTTCGCGACAAGAGGCCGGGTTCCAGGAGAAGCCTTGGTCTCCAAAACGTGGCCTCCCTCATCGGAGGGCAACGTGTACAGTCGGGGCCATGAAGAAGGAACCCTTTTCGTTGGGGAGGGGCTCCGTGTTCCTCAATTGTTTCACAGCTTGCCTCAGGGTTTCCTTATGTTTTCGATGGGGAATCGGAGTTTAACTCATGGAAAAAGGGGCCTCGTTCCTTATTTAGGCTTCCTTAGGTCAACGCCCCGACTGGATCAGCGCCCCTCTACTCCAGGGGAGTCCAGTAACGGGCGCTGTGGCCAGGGGCCTGGTGAACCCCACCCTCCCCGACGTGACGTGGGCAGCGCTGCAATGCCAGAGAGAGCCCCTGAAGCGGCAACTTCGGGCAAGCTTTCAAACTACGCATTCGTGGGTAGCCTTTGCGGCGCCACTGATTCTATTTCCGCCGGCCTTCCTCCAGTTTTTGCCGGCTGTCCCGCCGCCGTTGAACTTTCACCCGCTTCCGGCGGCCTTCCGCCGCCCTTCCGCCGAAGAAACGAAGTGTCAACATTCCTTCGGTCCTCGACGGCGGAACGTTTTTTCTGGAACGCCTCTCGGGACACCGTCTCCCGCGTCCTGCCGCACTCCCTCTCGAACGATGGAGGTGGTGGGGCGGGGGAGGGAGCGGGGGAAAACAGGGAGGGAGATGGGGAGAGGGAAGGAGGGGGGGGGAACGGATGGGGGGGAGGCAGGGAGGGAGAGCGGGAGGGAAGGGTGGGGAAAAAGGGGGGGAGAGGGGGGAACGGAAGGGCGGGAGAGAGACAATCCAGGAACGCACGCGCCGTATCTGACACCCTGCCACTCCCAACCATCTCTGCCCATTGCGCTGATTCGTTTTCTGCCCGCCGACGTGTGTCATACGGGTCCTGGAACCCCAAATGGGACACCGTCGAAGAGGAGCGGCGTGCACTGGAGGAGGAGGTCGCGGATGAGCAGGAGGATGAAAATGATGAAAAGGATGAAAAGGATGATGAAGGAAGGGGGCGAACAGCAGCAGCAGGTGGAGTGGAAGGGACTGGAGACGCAGGAGGACAAGGGGAAAGCGGGGGAGGAAACGTGAGGGGGGCGACGTCGCCGAAAAATGGCTCGGATCTCGAGGTGCGGGAGGCACTGGGGCAAAAGCGACACGCTGACACGCGAGAAGGCCCACGCTGCAGCGATACACACAATTTTGAAACGCCGCGCTGCCGACGCACAGCAAGTCAGTGTTGGAGATACTGTGTTCGAGCTGTTGGTCAACATGGGCCCGAACAGTAAGATTATCCCGCCTCTGCGCAAAGAGCGGTCGTCGAAACGCGCGGGGCACGGCCGACGGGCGCGGGATGGGGGGGCCAACGCGAAGCCAGGGGCCAAGCCCCCCCACGGCCACCCGCGGGCCGAACAACGCCGCTGAGGCGAAGGTCGTTTGGCGTGCGCCTCGGGGCGTCTGCGGCGGCTCAGCCTCGGCGCAGTGGCAGAGGAAAGGGAGAAAAGGGCGGGCGGGGGGGGCGCCTGCAACGACCGCGAAGCACAAGGAGAGAGGATAATGAGAAAACATCATCCCGCCTCCGCGCAGAAGAGCGGTCGTCGAAGCGCGCCTGGCACGGCCGACGGGCGCGGGCCGGGGGGGCCCCCGGGAGGCCAGGGGCCAAGGCCCCCCCGCCGGCGCCCGGGGGCCGAGCGCCGCCGCTGAGGCGCAGGTCGCCTGGCAGGCGCTGCGGAGCGCCTGCCGCGGCTCAACCTCGGCGCAGTAGCAGAAGGGAGGAGAGGGCGGGGGGGGCGCCTGCAACGACCGTGCAACGCAAGTAGAGGGGATAATTCGCCGGCCCAACGGGCCAGAGGCGTGCTAAGAACTCCGGTGACTGCTTTACAATCTTTCTACTACGCGCGCGCGGGGCGGCCCCTGGGGGCACCCGGGCGGACAGTACCCCGGCAAGGTCCCGAGAGTCCCGGGAGGAGTCACCAGGGCGCTCCAGCAGCGCACCAACGCGGCTCCGAGACGTCCCCGAGAGCCCCAAGAAGGGCCAAGAGGCTTCCAAGAGGCCCCCAAGATGCTACATGAGGGGTCCGAGATGCCACAAGATCGCTCCAAGACGCCCACGATAGCCCCCAGACGCCCCAAGAGGCCTCCAAGAGCACTCCCGAGAGGGCCCCAAGAGGCAAAATTCACTGTTTTTCCTTAGGTTTTGGAGAGATTTTGGCGTTTCCACCTTTTCGGCTTCACGACACCCCAAGACGGCCCAAGAGGCCCCCAAGACCGCCCCAAGAGGGCCCAAGAGGCCCCCAAGAGGGCCCCAAGACGGCCCAAGAGGGCTCCAAGACGGCCCAAGAGGCCTCCAAGACGGCCCAAGAGGGCCCCAAGAACGCCCCAAGAGGGACCCCAGGGGGGGAACACGAAACAATATTTCGAGCCCTCGGCCCTCAGAAGTCCCCAGGAGGCCCCAAGAGGCCCCTAAGAGGCCCCAAGAGGCCCCCAACAGGCCCTCAGGAGGCCCCCAAGAGGCCCCCAAGCGGCCCCAGGAGGCCACCCAAATGCCCCCCCGAGCACGCAAGCAAGTGCCAGCGACGCTACACTATGGGCCGGCGGAATGAGCGAAGCGATTCAATAAGAAAGCGTTCTCCCGCCTCCGCGCAGAACAGCGGCCGCGCACGGCCGACGCGCGCCGTGCGCGGCACGCGCTCGCGTTCGTGGGGCGCGCCGTGCACGGCGCGCGGTCGTCGAAGCGCGCCGCGCACGGCCGACGCGCGCCGGCGTGGGGGGCCCCGAGAGGCCGGGGCCCCCCGTGCGCGCGCGGGCCGAGCGCCGCCGCTGAGGCGAAGGTCGCGCATTGGGCGCCGCGGGGCGCCTGCGGCCATGGCCAGGCTCAAGGCCTCGCGCAGTGACAAGTCTCTGGCGGGCGGCCGAAACTTGCGTTGACCGCGCAGAAGGGCCCACAGCAAACGAAGAAACGACAGGGCGGTCGCTGGCAGCAGCGACTTACGCAACGCGCACGCGGGCTAATGCAGGAAGGGCGGGCAGGACAGACGCGGCGGCGCCAGCCTAGATCTCGCGCTCAGCGCTGGTGGCCTGGCGCCAGCGGCCGCGCCGAGAGACGCGGGGGGCGCATTCCGCGGCCGCGCAAAAAAAAAAAAATCAATCGCCCAAGGACCTCGCATCCATGCAGGCGCGAGGTTCAGCCCGCGGGCCGCGCTGGAGAGCGGGGCGCCCGTGGCCGCGAGCAAATGGCCCCGCCGAGAACGGAAGCCGCTCTGCCCGATGGGCGAAAGCGGGCCGGCGGAGCACAATAGCTGGAACGCGAGTTCCAGGGGCCCCGCCGACGACCCATCGGAGCAGCGAGCGCGCTGCGTCGGAAAAGCACGGCGGGTCTTCTGCGCATGCATGGCAAGAGAGGCGTCGCCGCGAACTCCGGCCCTTTCCGTGGCCTTTGCCCTTGCTTTCGAAGGCCCTCCGTGCCCGGCGCGACGGTTTGTTGTTATTGAAGCGTTGCCGTCGGGACTTGGCTCGAACGCATGCCCAAGAAAAGCGCTTTCCGCGCTGCTCCATGGGAACTTTGCGCTGTTCGGGGCCGACGGCAGCGATTTCTTCGCCGAGTGAACTGACGGCGTCGGAGTCGGCGCCAGGGTCGAAACCTTCTGCCTGAGACGCTGCCCGCGGCGATGCCGTGCCCGCGTTGGCGGCGGCCGGCGCTGCAGGCGAACGCGGGCCCCAGCGCCGCGGGCCCGTGCCGTCCCAGCTCGATCGGGCCAAAGCGCCATGGGCGCTCTCATCCGGATCGCGCCCGGGCGCCCCCGCGACGGGCGCTCGTCGGCCGAGCGCGCGGCCGAGGCGAGATTGCCCAGCGAGCCATCGATCATCTGACCAAATCTGCGTAGCTGGCCTATCATGAGCGCCACCTGCGGCGCGTCCGCGGGGCGGGCCATGTCGAAGCGCTGCGGGGCCGTGACGAGCTGGATGTTCGACGCGCCCACCGCGCGAAGCTAGAGGTAGGTAGCTCGGGCCCTCGTAGCTGATCACGAATTGGCCGGCCTGCCGCGCCGTCGGAGGCTGTCGAACATGGCGGGGCGGTTTCCAATGCGCCCCTGCGGCACCGGATTCAAGTTCATCAGAGCTGATGCCACCTGCGCGCGACCCCCTTCTCCGCGCCAGCTCCGCCGCTCGGCCAAGCGCAGCGCGAGGTCGATCATGGGCTGCGCTGGGTCGCCATTGATGCGACCGTCTTGGACGGGGCGGCGGGCGGCCATTCGTCGGCGCACTCGGGGGCCGCGCTGGTCAGGCGAGACGAGACGTAGGCCGCCAGGCCAGACACGTTGAGGTCTAAGTCCGCCATTGACTAGATAGTCCCCCCCCCGCGCCCAGCGCTGGAAGAGCGCGATGGCCCGCTGCCCGGCCCCCTAGGTCGGAAGCGTCGCACGTCGCCGCTTCTCCCGCCGCCCGCGCCCGCGCAGGCGGTGCAGCTGACGGCGGCGACCACGCCCACTCCGATGGCCTCCCATTCCGAGCGGGGCCCCATCCAGGTGTCGAGGAAGCGCGACGGCGGCGGTGTTCTGGTAGTGATCCTCGAAACCGTCGCGGGCCTCTGTCCCTGGCGTGGCCCTCCTCATCGGCGCGTTGGGTCTTCTCTTCTGTCGCGCGATTGACGCGCGGACTGCGCTCGGAGCATCCCGCCGCGCAGTGGCGCGAGAACTCGTCGCGCGTCGCATTGTCACTGTGCTGAGCACTGCCAGCTGTGCGATAGTCAGGAGAAGTACGCATTGGGGATCGAGGTCTGCCACGCAGCAGGGACTGCGCAAGTGACATCGAAGGTCATATCTCAAAAAACCGATAACGAATAGCCCCAAGATTGCGTAGAGGTCCCCCGCAAGGATGGCCACGCAATTGCCCGACCCCCCGTTGCATTCCCGCTCTTGTCTGCGCGCGCCTCCCCCGGTTTCCGCGACACAATTGCGGAGAACTCGGGGCTGCCGAATATGTGGGCGTCGGACCGAACGCCTGCTTGACATACTCGGCCACGCCCACATGCGGATGCAATGAAGGCGGTGCGTGAATTTAGTTTTCCGCCTCGGGCTTCCGCAACACAATTGCAAATATTTCGGGGCCCTGTGCCGACGCCGTGAACGCGGCAGTCGGATCGTTCGACGGTCCGACGCTGACGGCGGCACTCACAGGCGATTGCTGTGACGACGAAAGGCCGCCGAACATCTCGAACGCAATTCGGAAGTGCCCGGTGGGGGAAGCCGAAGCGCGGGGCGCGCCATCCTTCCTGTAGGTACACTTGTACAGATACTCGTGGTCGAGCTGGAGTACCTCGGCTTCTCCTGGCGGCTGGGTCGGCGGGGCGAGATGAGGTGGATGCCCAGCAAAAAATCGAACAAGTGCGCGTGGCACGCGTTGTGGAGCGGGTAGAACGGTCGCCGCCGGCATGGAAGGGAGTCTCGCGAGCCATCGCGTCTGCGAGTAATCGCGGATAGGGCTGCCCCGCTACCAACTAAGATGTAGAGCGCTGAACAATATGTTCTTGAACGGAAAGGTGTACAGCGAAAGGTCTTCTAGCTAAATGGCAACAGAGAGAAGGGCCCTCCCGCACATTTCATGTACAAAACTGCTATATGCTCAAAGATGAGGTGACCTTCCGTTCGAGCACGAGGAGGAAAAGGAGGAGGGGGAGGAAAATGAAGAGGAGGAGGACGAGGACGAAGGGCAAACGGAAGATGAGGAGAAGGAGGAAAAAGAGGAGGACGAAGGGGAAGGAGGAGGAGTAGGAGTTCCCTCCGCCAAGTGGCGGCGCGTCCTGGGCTGCCGGCGCTGGCGTCGCCTCTTCAGAGGGCGCGGCCTCGTGGGGCGGGGGGGGCCTCTCCAAGGAGCGGCGCGCCGCGCTCTGCGCGGGGGCAAAGGGGGGGGGTTCTGGCGACCCCCATCCGCCTCCCCTTTCCCCCTACTCCTCCGCTCCTCCTCCTGCTCCTCCTGTTCCTCCTCCTCCTCCTCCTCCTTTTCCTCCTCCTTCTCGTCCTCATTCTCTTCCTCCTCCTCCTCCTGCTCCGCCGCATGTTCCATGTCGTTGTCGTCCTTCTCCTCCTCCTTTTCCTCCTCCTCCTCCTCCTCCTCTTCCTCTCCTCCTCCTCCTGCTCCCGGTCCTCCTCCTCCTCCTCCTTCTCCTCTTCCTCTTTATTCACTGTCCCCCCACCCCCGCCCCTTTGCCCCCTTCTCCGGCTGACTCCCATTCCCTTCCTTTCCCTCCTCCTGACGGGGGGCCTGGCCATGCCGATCGCCGACCTAGTGGGACTTTTTCGACGGGGCAGAGCATCTGGAGCCCAACTCGGGGATAGCACAACTTGGGGGGTGCCCATCCTTGATGCGCTGTGCGTCCGAACAACCCCCTCGCAATAACGCGGGTGTCGAACTAGGACATGCACCAAGCACGCTCTGGAAGCGCATGCCATTACGCGCGCATCGACCCCCATGTGCAGAACCCCCCTGTTTCAAGCAACACGTGTTCCGTGGGGACGGAATGCACCAGGCTAGGCAGAAACGTACTAACGAAGCCAAGGAACAAGACGCAGAAGGGACAACATAAGAAGTATAGGATCAGGCCCTATGCCATGATATTCGGAAGGGGGCTATCGCCTGATACCATGAACACGCAGCTAGCCAAGGAACAGAGGTGATCCAGATCGAACGCACGCGAAACGCATCGAAACACGTTATTATAATACAATTGTGAAAATAAACGTAACACACCGCGCTCGCGGAGAGTGAGGGGGCGGCGGGGACGTCTGCAGTCTGCGAGGCTCTGAAGCAGCCCGCCGCAAGCGCTTGAATCTGTAATATTATACAACGAGCCCGCCGCAGGTGCCGACTTTTCGCTACGTAAAACAATGTAGGTGGGTCGCGGGAGGGTCGCGGGTGGGTCGCGGGCCGGGTGCCGGGTGGGTCGCGGGTGGGTCGCGGGTGGATCGCGGGTGGGTCGAAGGTGGGTCGCGGGTGTGACCCAGGTGGGTCACGGTGTGGGTCGCGGGTGGGTCGCGGGGTTGGCCGCGGGGTGGGTCGCGGGTAGGTGGCGGGCGGGTCGCGGGCTGGATGCCGGGTGGGTCGATGGTGGGTCGCGGGCTGGATCGCAAGGGGGACGGCGCTAAGAAACACCAAGCAAAACAACAGCATCAACAACAAAAGCCACAGCAACAACAACACGACAACAACAACATCATCAACAACAAAAACAACAACCACAACAACACCAACAACACCAACAACAACAGCAACAACAACATCCACACCAGTCATGTTGTGACTGTTCGCTCTTGTCTGCTCGAGTGTCATTCAACGTGTATTTCCTGTACCCTCGATGCCCGCTCTCTTCGATTTCGATCGTACCCATTTTGGGGGTATTCATTTCTTCCCTGCAGGCCGGGCCCGGGCAAGCGGCGGGGCGGTCGCGGACCGTCGGCCTGGCCAGCGGCAGCGCTGATCGGCGGCAACCCGACCTCTAGAAGGACGGACAGGAGACCGACCACCACGACGACGACGACGACGACGGCGCCGGCGACGACGAGCGAAAGCGAAAGCAAAAGCGAGAGCGACAGCGGGGCCATGAAGGGCAGGAAGCGGGCCACGAAGGGCGACAGCGGGGCCACGAAGGGCATGCGTATGGGGCCACGAAAGGAAACTGCGAGGGAGTCCCAAGCGTGAGCCCGACTCCTGGGTGCCTGAGTGTCGGGGGCGCGGCGCATGAGTGAATTGCGGGAAACTCCAACGCAAGAGCGCGATTCTTGAGTAAATTACAAGCAAGTCTCCAACAAGAGCGCGACGCCAGAGCGCCGAGAGAGCGATTCTTCAATGAATTGTACGGAAATCCCAAGCAAGAGCGCGAGTCCCGAGTGAAACGCGGGGAAGTCTCAGGCGGCAGCGGGGGGCCTGGCTAAATTTCGAAAAAGTCTTAGGCGGGAGCCGTTGCTGTTGTAATCCAGAGGCAAACAGCACAATTTGAGCATAATGCCTTCTCTGAAGAAACAAACAGGGTGCGGGCTCTGGGGGACGCACTTAAGTTGAAAAACGCAATGGTCACCAGAGGGGGGGGATCAACAAAAACTGTGTTTCAGTACTGAGAGCTCAACAACAGCAACAACACCAGTTACACCACCAGCAACAACAACATCACCGGCAACAGCAACAGCTACAACAATAGCAACAGCAACATCAACAGCAACAACACCATCAGCAACAATCGCAACAACATCACCACCACCAACACCACCAACAACAAAGTTAATCATGTTCCCTCTTAGTTGCTCGAGTGTCATTGAACGTGCAGTTCTTCATCCAACAAAACTCAACCACGACAACAACAACAAAAACACCAAGAAAAACAACACCAACTCTAGCAACAACATCAAGGCCAACACCCCCACCACCACCAACACCAACAATAACAATAGCAACAGCACCACCAACAGCACCAAAAACGACACCAACAATACCAACCACATCACGGTCACCAACACTACCGACCAACAACACCGCCATTACGAACAACAACAACAACCACAAACACAACAACACAAACAACAACACCACCACCACCACCAACAACAACAATAACCCGCATAACGAAACACCACTTCAGTCACGCACCCAGGGACAGTGAATGACCGTTTGGCCCCCTCACTTTGATTTAGGGAGGGAAGCGGGGCGGGAGAGACGGAGGAAAGGAGTGGCCTCCTCCCCCGCCCTTCCCCCCCATGCTTCTCTTCCCCCCCATCGTTACCCTCACATGCTCCACCCCCTCCTCATCCCTGCTGCTGCTGCTCTTCCTCCTCCGCCTCCTCCACCTATTCCTAATCCTCCTCCTCCTCCCCGTTTCTCCCTCCTCCTCCTCCTCCTCTTCCTCCTCCTCCTCCTCCTCCTCCTCCTCTTCCGCCTCTCCGTTCCTCCCTCCTCCTTGCTTTTCCTTCCTTCTTTCCCCCCCATTTCCAGCCCGGGCCATCCGCGCCCCGCGCGCATCCGAGCCCCGTGCCGCCGTCGTGTTCCCGGCCGCGCTCTCCGCGCCGATGTACTTGAAGACCGTCGAGTCCGTCCCGCAGAACCTCGGATGGGGGGGGGCAAGGAGGGGGGAGGCGAGGGGCAGGGGCACAGAGGGGCAGGAGGAGGAGGAGGAGGAGGAGGAGAAGGAGGAGGAGGAGGAAGAGGAGGAAGAGGAGGAGGAGGAGGAGGAGGAGGGCACGTGGCCACTTTGGCTCAAGGCTCGAAATCCTTGTCGCGGGATTTCGAAACGAGGTTTCCGCCGCCGTGCGACGTCCATCAGAGGGGGCGCCCGACGTGCACTCACCTCCCAGACGTGCGCCAAAGCGCGCGGTCACATCAGCAACGTTTCCTTTCCCCGTCAGTCGCATTCCTGTGCAGTGCCGCCTCCATGCCGAACACGTGGCGATGCAATCGGTGTCAGAAGCAGGCTCCCAATGTCAAAATGGTTCTGCGCATGTGGCTCAAAGTGGGGAGAGGCAGCATCCAGCGTCATAAGGGCCCCCATCAGAGGCAGAGACATCAAGCCAGAGACTGCAAAGGACATCGAGGCTCAGCAGCTGGAGTTGGGAAGGATCGCGGCCCGCATCATGTCTGCCAGCCCAGAGTCTGCACATCAGCACCCACGCCACTGCCTGCCACCCGACTCTCAGGACCTGCAGCCTCTCTCCGCACGGAGACTAACAGCAAACGTACCTCTCTCGCTTCGCTCCTCGAGGCCAGCAGGGCGGCGGGCAGGGGGGGGGCGTCGCAGCCGTTCGGGAGATCGCAGTATACGAGTTCATGGTCTCTCCACTCGAGCCACTAGCGGAGCACATTGCAGCCGCCAAGATACGCGTCGGGAAGAAGCTCACCAGAGCGGCCGAGAATCAGAAGAAAGCGAGCGACCTGCAGACGGAGGCCAACGCCGTCGCTTACGACGTGGACGCCCCCAAGCAGGCGTTGGAGCAGCTATGTCAGGAGAAGGAGGCCGACGCCGAGGCGGGCATGCCCGACATTCCCATAATTAGGCGCCTGGCCTCCGTCAGAATCGGCTGCCCCCGCTCAGTTGCCAGCGCGGCAGCGCGCGCGTGGCTGGTCGCCCCCTGCACCCCCACTGCCGCGGGCTATGGATCTCGGCCCCCCTGGCGACCCCAACAGCGCAGTAGCGCAGGCAGTCTCGAGCCTCCAGAACCACGTGGCCCAGCAGGATGCGACGATCGAGCAGGTTCCAACGTCTACGTGCACGCGAGCCCGCCCGCAGCCTCAGAGCAATCAGCCTCCAGGTGGCGCCCCGCATCCAGCGGGGTTTCGCGCGCCGGGGCCAGCGGCCCCAGCGATTCCGCCTCCCGCGGCATCTCGCGGTCGCCTCACGCAAACTGCAGCTCGGCTCAGCAGCCTCAGCAGCAGCGCAGCCAGCTAGCATCAGCCCCAGAAGTCGCGCCGTCTACTCAAGCTCAGGGCGAGCCATCGGCCTCTCAATGCCTCGCCCTCGCCATAGCCTTTGGTTCTAGGCCCAGCGGAGATTCAGGGGGGACGCCGCAGGTGAATCCAGCTCAGCTTGCGGCCGCGCAGCCCATGGCGAGCAGCTGCGACCAGCAGGAAGTTATCCCAGGGCCGGCGCCCGTTTCTGCCTCCGCCTACTCCGAGTACGTCGGCTCAGCAGCTCACCCAGGCGCGGCCCCTCCAGACGGACGCCCAGCCCTCGACAGTCCCAGCCCCCCCCAAATGAGCGGACGCGGCGCCGGGCAGCGCGGGAAAGCGCCCGTCCACGCTCGAAGGTCTGTCGCCGCCCAGGAAGGAGCCCAGGGGCGAGATCCGCCCCGCGGACGAGGTGGCCATCGAGACGGCCGACGGTCAGCTACAGCCACGTCTTCCTCCTCCAAGCGCGCAATGGCCATTCCCAGGAGACGAGCAGAGTCTCTAGCAGCCACTCGGGGAGTTGCCGAATACATTGCGTATGACGAGGGCGGCGACCTCCCTCAACGCGAGACCAAGTACGCCATGGATCTATCCAGTTCAGAAATCATCCCCCTGCTGATCCCAGCGCATCCTGCAGCATTCCATCGCAGCAGCAGTCGTCGAAGCAGAACTACCCAGTCAGCTCTGCAGGTCTGGCCGACGCCACCCCGATGGTGCCCGTCAACGGAAGGAAGCTCACCGTCAGCCTAGACGCCATGGTCGCGGTCAGGAGCGGGGGCGCCCAGTGCGCAGACTGCGGCGTCGGGGACTCCACGAGTGTCTTGAACTCCATCCTCCAGGTTGGGGACTCCCTCCAGCCTCTGAACGACCTCGAGGGCGTCAAGCTGCATCCTGCATCTCAATGTGGTCTAGAAGTTCCACAGCCGCTGTTGGGAAGGCCACGGCGCCTACAGGCCCGCGCGCATGGGTCCTTCGAGAGGTTCCAGGACAGTGCATGGGATTTGCTTTGATGCAGTATCCGTTGGGCATGGCGATGCTGTTTCCTACCTGGGGTATGCCAAAGGCTTGAGTAACAAAAGCTGATTGTGTCTCGTCGCGTGCAGCGCGCTGAAAAGGAGGCTTCGCGTCGTGAATCGAAGACCGAGAAGCTTGCAAGAGCGCGCGCGCCGCGGTGGTTGACCAGCTGCCGCAGTCGGGGGATCGCGAGGCAGAGCCCGGCAAGGAGATCGAGACCGAGCGCGTCGCGGCTGAGGGGGCGAAAGAGGGCAGCGGCGACGAAAGTTGCCACAGGTCCTCCTGACCAATGACCAGATCCCGAGAACTCCGCAGCCACAGGAGTGTCAGATTACGTTGGCAGGTCTGCAGGCACCAGAAGCTAGAGCCAACTTCGAGTCGAAGTGCGGCGATGTCCCGGGCGCGCTCAACACTTCCCTCGGGCGGAAGGCAGCTCCCAAACCAGAAGTCACCCGCAAAGAGATGGATGAGCGCGGCCTGGTCGACGCGTTCAGCCAACTCGAGGGGGCGACTGGCCAGGTCACGCGCCAATTGCTCAACGAGCTCTTCGCGGCCAATCATAAACAACGCTTTCGTCCCCCAGGACCTGGAGGGCGCCCCGCAGGTCACGGCATCCCAGACTTCGCGCACCCGAATGCGGAGTGGGAGCTTGCGGGTGGATCAGATGAGGCCGGCCTCTGAGGTCCGTCACCGCTGCCAAGATCAAGGAGACGCATCTTGGGAAGCGAAGGCTTCAGATCACAGCTTGTATTGTATCACCCCGAACGGTGGCACTGCTAATTTGTCAAAAATTGCGGGGTCTACTCGTTGCAGTGCATCGCCGACGTGCTCGGGCCAGAGATCCAGTTCGTCTACCAGCCCCACCCCCTGCGAAGTCCACCGGACCAAAACAGAACGACTCCGACGCATCGCGCGCGAGAGCGCGACCACTTCGCGG